AGACGGACCATAGCGAAACGAGCGCTCGTGCTTGAAAAAGCACGCTTCAAAGTATAGAGACTCACTGGCACATTGACGTTTTACTGATTGCGATAGGAACCGCTTACGAACTCCCGCGACAAGAAACCACTCTGGCGCCACCTATCCGGCAGCACCAGACCACTGCCGACACGGGTATATTTCCTTTTCTTTTTATTTGACTTTATTTTGTTGTGGGCTCGAAACCCTTTTGTACAGTATTATTATAACCATCTTTCCTCCTAGGTATTGCCAAGGTTTGATATAAAAAATAGTGAGAAAAATCTTTAGTATCGTTATACGTAGTCTCTGAGAGACGGCGTCAATATCGCCAGCGTCAGCTGCTTTCGTTGTAAGCGATTATAAGCGGTCGCAACGCCGTTCACACACACGCAATCGCATGTGTGTAAACCAGTCAGAAGACAGCGTTCACACCGTTCGTGCTCCGTACAAGAGACACGATGTTGGCTGCAGATATGATGACGAAATTATCCGCGGACGCGCCAGCTTGATCGAAGCACATTTTTTCACACACGGATGGATGGATGGATGTTAATGGCTATGCCCTTTGTAATGGGCGGTAGCTTGCGCCACCTAGCCAAACGTGTGTGCTGCGAACATGTTTGCAGATAGTTTTTGTTTGACCAATGTCAAAGGGCCGTCATACGAGAAAAAAATGCGCCTCGGACGATGTCCGCAACCCGTCTTTTGCACAATGTAGTAGCGGTGCGACAGCGGCTTTGAGGGACGCGGGCTAACTCTACCCTGTAGCCTCCGTTGCCCTGTCAGCCTAAAGGTAAGCGGAATACAGCGTATGCGCGATTCGTACACCAACGCTGTTAAAGTGAGTCCAGAAATAAAAAAAAAAAGACTTTCCCCTTTGGCAAAGAAGGAAGACCAGCGAAGCTATACTATGGTCGGAATGAAGCAATGGCCGGCCGCAAGTCGCCAAACCAGAGTGGAAAGGCTGAAGAGGTTGCCGCCATTCATGAGCGACGGGGGCAAGCGAACAACCGGCAAAAACAACACTATAGACAGCTACCGCCATCTATGAGCGACGGTGGCAACCAGAGTTTTGTGTCGACATTTCTTTGTGGGGGACACGATCCTGGGGAAGCTAGCCCTTAACAGCTACACTCTAGAAAAAAAAAATAAAAAAAAAATAACAGCCCATGTTGTCAGGTTTACGCGAAGCCACCGGGTAAAAGGGACCGTGATGCAGCGGAAATATTATCGAATGCCCTCGGTAACCCGTCGAGGATACAATAATTGTGAAAGCGAGCCATCCTTCAAAAGTTGCCGAAAGATTCGACGAAATTGCGGGAGAATTGCGACGTACAAACGGTGCTGGCGAGGTGCTTAGGGGATTTTGCAAAGGGGCCTTCTCTGAAACAAGAAAATGTATAAATGAAAGCGAGCATAATTCGGGGTACTCTGGAAGCTTGTTACGCCAACGTGGGACGCTTGCCTCGCTCGATACGTCTTTCTGCTTCCATTTTTTTTAAGTTTTTGGTAAGCTCACAATTTGTGGGGTTCTCAAACTAGCGACAAGAAAGCCTGCGGGCAAAATCCAAAAGAACAACAGGATTAGTAAGGTGTTCCCGAGTCAGAAGAAAGGAAAGCCTTGTTCTTAAACATTACCCGTGGCCACCATTGTTCTAGCGTTTTGCTTTTAGGGATCTATGTCTGAAGGCCTTCCGGGGCGTTTAGCCATGCAAATTCGGGCCCCAGTAGTCTCGGGAAATATTCCCGAGCCACGAAAGAACGGATGACTTACAAAACTAAAAAAAAAAACAAATAACTAGAATGTTGGAGTGTTGCGTACGTGGGTCTCTACGTGTGCAGAAGGATTAGCGAAAAAACCTGCGACGACAGGAGCGCGAAACAAGCTGTGGTAAAAAGGCCTAAGCGGTGTTGATTTTCTTCGTTTTCCGGGAAAAGCAAGATGCTTAGAACAGCAGCTAGAAGCAAAAAATAACGTTAGTACAAATATAGAAACTGACATGTCCACATAATGTTAAAGAAAGCATAAGTTTGAATGTAAGCGACAAGCACCATATAGAAAAAGAAAAGACATCAGCACAAAACAAAAAGAAAAGAACTAGCATTCTGGAATAAAGTCAGTGCCTCTTTATTTCTAACAATACCGCGAAAAGAAGATAGTAAAGTTGAGATTTGATGTAGGGAATGATCGCGGCTTATATTTCTGAGCATTGGCTCAAGCACTTGCCTCCGTTTCACGGCAATAGGACCAATTCGGGGTAGGCCATTTTTTTAATGTAAATGAGGAAAGCTTTACCGGTTAAGATAGGGAAAAGGGCCGCTAAGACCCTTTGTCTGGTACGTTTAAAGATGCGTTTTTGATGCGACATTTCTCAATCCGCCATTCCCAAAACAGAAAGGCATAAACCTTTATAAACATTCTTGTACTCTTACATCGCGGTCGGTACATATCCCCATTAAATATGTACCGAGTGAATTCTTATCTGAAGTTTACGAACATTCTTCCTCAACATTGGTCAAACGCAACACCTGTATAGGTACAGACCATGTCACTTCTGCCATCCTTGATTTACGCGGAGGCGAATTCGGCTATACAACTCCGACTTCGTTGACCCCCCGTACAAACCATCGCAGAGTAAGCCAAGAGGGGGGCGGGGAGATTGCAGTTTCCCCACGATCCGCGCCACCGAAACGACGGCGGTAGTATAGTCAATTTACAATGTAAATTGGCTTCCGCTACGCGCTCGACACGACAAGTTCTTATCTCCGGCTTTTAGGCTCGCCGGCCACCACAGCCACGCAGGGCGGCTTCGGTGGACGTGCGTTCGGCGCGGTGTTGTGGGGGGGCAGGGGCGTCTTCTCCCTACCAGCTACTCTCGACACCGGCAAGCGGCAGAGATAAGCTTTTATTCCTGCGGGGGTCTCGCGGGGAGGACGCTGTGGGCACGGTACCGGCTCTCCCAAAAGGTCAATTGAAGGCCGGTCCATTTCGCCGCTGCTGCTGCGCATCTCCCTCCGTTTTCCTCATAAAAATGCGCGTGTCCCTCGATCCCCTTCCCTCCCCCGTCGTCTACGTCCCTCGTCGTCTTTTCGGCCGGATTTCTGCGGTGGCGTTGGGGAGGAGGGAGGGAGATGGAGATTTGGATAGCGGTTTGATGCGTTTCTCCAGCGAGGACGACCGCCCGCTCTTCGTGGATCAACCGATCGGATTTGTACCGTCGCGGAGGTATATAGGACGGGACATGGGTTGGAGCGTGTTCGTAATTTGCGACGCGTTTCGCTCGGGACGCGAGCTTCCCTCCCGATTTACTCCCGAGATAAGGAACGATCAAACGGAATTGCCCATTTGCCGTCCCGGTTGCTCCGCTATTGTGTTTCGCGGCATCTACCAGTGCCTGGCGGGTCTCGTGGGGAACTTGTGGAGTGCGCGGAGGGCATTGTGAAGAGGCATAAGGCACCTATGTAAGCAGATGCCGCAAGTTCCTTAAGCTTTTGTTGTTTTTTTTTTGCTCAAATGTTTGCACATTTGCTTGAGGCAGGTGGGGACCATAAAATGTAAAGCCACTAAAGTAATCACGATTTTTAAATATCACTTTGTAGGGTTCTTTTTGTATGGAGTCGATCAAACTGAAATTTAAAAAAAAAATTCATATTAAATTAAATGAAAGTGAGAAAAAAAAGCTTAATTAAAGCATAATTAACATTATTCAATTCCAGATTTTGACCTAATATTCAATAATAGATAACTAAAACACTCTTCATCAAAGCGTACCTTTTTAAAGATATTGGAAACGAATCGCATTATTTGGAAGTCACGTGACTTGGAAATTACTCGTATAGACAATGAAAGTTTAAAGCTGATAAAAAAAAAATCAACGTTTTCCCCAGCAGGTTTTTTGAGTCACATAGTTACGACTATCTCCCGTAATTAAAAACAAAACAAAAACAATCAGAAGACATTTAGTATAACGCTTCTTGGTGGATATCGGGGGTTTTGCTTTTACCATGCAAGGGGATATCACAGAAACACCTCCTGGATTGTGACACGGTTTACACAGTACCGTTTATTTCTTAATGCAGCGGTGCCACCATTAAAAGAATCCATAGGAAACTATTTTTTTTTTGTTCGTTATTCTTTTACACACAGTGAGCAATCGGCAAATACAATCTCTAAAATATGTCTCCAGTATTGATGGCTTGCACGTGACGTCGTTGCTGGCTGGTGGCCATTTCAACTTATTCTCGCCAAAAATAGCAAACACGGTAGTCTGAAATGCACGCTGCAAAAGGTACGCGTGAGCTGCAAGGTCACCACGATGGCAACTGATGTGACGTCAGTGCATACCACGTATTGCAAAACGTTCTAGCTTAGCATCGCTAACACCACGACGCAGCAGATTAACGCGAGTCTCGCAAACCACAAGACGGAACGACTTTTGGCGATAAAGGCCCTCGGGACACGTGTATCACCCGCCAGAACGCAAACGACCCGAAGTAAACCTCGCTGACTGGGCTCTGAAGAGGCCGCGTATACTTTTGCTATCGACGGGAGAGATTCGCTGCAGAGAAGGCGGGTGAAGGGGGGCAGCGCCGGCTCCGGGCCAGTCATCACTTGAGCCCGTCTCAAAAGTGGGCAGGACCCGCGGCGCCCTGCAGTCGCGCGTGTTCCTAACCAAACACTCAACCACAAGCAGGGCACACGCGCGTGTATACTCCGACGCGGGGACGGGGCGGACACACGCGAATAAGAGCAGCGACGCTATTTGTTACGAGTTCCGGGCGCGCGGCCGGAGTCCCCGGTGCTTGGCCCAGAAGCGATGGGCCGCGTGCCGTCGGGGCGGCCGAGGAGTCATCCTGGAAGATTGCTGCCGGAGCTTTGCGGGTCAGGCAGGAAGGCGGCGGTGCACCGTGGGCCGCGCTCCCACTGCCGGTGATGCCGGGGTGGCCACGGGGAGAGCCGGGGTCTCTAACTCGATTACCTCGCTGCGGCCCCAGCCGCGATGATGGATCCTCGGCTCCGTTCCCCAGGACTTCACCGCCCGTTGTCTGCGTGATAGATCGACGCTATCGACGCTTTGATTCATGGCCCCACGCCGACGCCGTTGCCCGTGCCGATGAATTACGTACGCGCGGGAGCGTTGACAACCGCGTCGCGGCCAGTGTGCCTTTTTGTCTCTTCCAGCGAGCGAACGCGAGCGCGCCCCGGAGAGCTCGCGCGCCACCCACGTGTGATGTAGACACTGACAAGATGAGAACGGCAGAAAGTTCCCTCGTCGACCCGCCCTTCAGCGCAAGGTTCCTACCTAGGATAAGGCTGCGGCGTCTCGCGGCCCTCGAACGTGCGCGTGTAGCCAAAGTACGGCGGAAGGCAAGGAGCGCGTGCTGAGGAACCAGGCATGGGAAGGAGACGCCCTGTCGCGTTCATCCAGCCTGTGACTATTGCAGAGTTCTCGCGACCGAAGTGGAAGCCAGCTTGGGAAATGGCGGTGGTACACGGTATTTCTGTTTGCCGACTTCTTACCCCTGAGCCCCGTGTGTTAGGCCAGTGGTTTTCAAATGGGGGTTCGCGGACCCTCTGGGGTCCGCGAAGATATTCTACGGGTCCGCGAAACCCTCCTTATCAGTCAAGCCCGGCAGTAAAAGTTGTCTTTTCTCAGATTGAGAAGAAACGCTCCATTTTTCGGGTGAGTTTTTTCGCGTATATGTCAGTAAGGAGGTCTATCTCACACCTTAGGTATATCCATTTATTAAATGACTATCATAATTAACCTACACAATCCTCTTCCCCTTACTACGAGCGGGGTCCTCCACCATCTCTGCAGATCCACAAGGGGTCCGCAAAACATCAATGGTTGAGAACCACTGTGTTGGGCTATCGCCCGAAGTGCATCGCTGTGTGTCAGTGGGCAGGATCTGACGAATGCCCCGTAATGCGCTCCAGGGAAACCAGCGAGTGTGATGACGGCCCGCCGACATGAAAGAGTTGAGCGCTCGCCCCGGCGTGACGCGTGTTATGACAAAAGCAATTTGTCTATACTTTGTTTCACCTAGAGCCCAGACGCCGCAGAAGCTACGAGTTGACGGGGACAGATGAACCAGTTTCAAAAGCGGAAGTGACTGGGCCTTCCTTGTAAATCATTGGTTCGGCGACAATAGAACACGTACAGAAACAACTTCGACCATGTTTGATTGGCCCCATCAGCTAGTAGTGTCGGCTGCGTCTCGACCTGGCTGTAAGATAGACAACTGGGGAAACGACCACTAAATCCTGCCGCAGCGTTGCAACCGCATTGTGTCCTCCTGGCGGCTTGCGCTCGGCAGGTACCCCCGCCTTACGAGAGATGGCGCGGCGGCATGCGGGAGGCGATGGACTCGGGTTTTGAATGGAACTCTATGAGAGAACACTTCGTGTCAGCGCTATTGTTTAATTTAAAGGAGAACTTACTAAATTATTTTTCGCCGCGTTATGGCGGATGGGGAACGCAAAGATTCGCGAGGTATGGGCCGCTGCTCTTGTGTTCCGAACTGTCGGTCGGGTTACGGCTCGAAGAAAGAAAAAAAGAAACAGGTTATTTTTACGCAGGTCATTTCGAGTTCGGGTAATTCCGTCGTGCTGGGCATAGTGTGACCGTAGTGTAGTGCGACGGCGTACCGCTGGCTTCAAATAACCTCGAATTAAAACTTATACTGCTGACGCGTAAATAGCGGAAACGTATAAGCTAGATCTCCGAACACAGCTGCAGGCGGAGTCGAATCAACGCCGTCGCTCCATTCACGAATCACGATACGCCTCAGCTGACTTCTCAGCTCGCCTTCATTTTGTCGCGCTGCGCGTTCCCTTGAATGTTTTAACTTGTAATGTAAAACATCGGGCAAAACAGAGAGCATATATTGACTATATTATTAGTATGTTCGATTAAACTTGCGTGGTTCGATCATGCAAGGTTTACGCAATAAATTGCCACTGGGTCGCCTTAGCTACGAAATTAATGAGAATATTTTGTTTTTCATTCGTCTTTGCGTGGCGAATGAAACGTGTTGTTAAACCAGTGCGTTGTGTCATCCTTCGAGACGAGCGTACTTAGTCTCATCATATTATGGACTAACTGCGAAGGCTGTGCAAGCGCGAGCGGGTGGCACTGACTGCCTTGACTGGAGCACCCGCTGCACGGGCGCTCGTGCAGCCGCCGAGGCTTCATCCAAAGCAAATAGCTCGCGCTCTTGGCATGCGCGGCTAACAATAGTCCATGCTTAGGTGAGACCACCGCGGGTGGGACGATGTATAGGGAATATTCACTGGCGGGCCATATCTGTGTGCGCGAATTCTGAGCGCGTGCTGATGGCGAGCTTCCACAGTTCTTTTGGCAATGTGCATTCCGCACTATCGAGAGTGCCGGTCTTAGCAGCCTATTGATGTGAGCTCATTCTGAGCATGCGCTTTAAACAGCACCCACAAATATGACGTCCAGTGAATACGTCCTATAGCAGCAAGGGAATTTCTACAAGATACTTCGCGTTTTCTTGACGTTCCTGAGCGCGATCGAAATAGTTATACAATGCAAGCTGAAGTGATGTATATGGTGTTAGTGAGAAATCCAAACCCGGCTTTTCGCACCCTAAAAATAAACTAGACATTCCGGAGAGCTCAAACTCCATCAGAACGTAGCCCCAGCCGTTCGAGTAAGATGACAGAGTTTCAGTACCAACCGTTATCTTATATAAAAGTTATAAGTGATTTTTTTCAAATTCGAAATGATAAAATGAGGCTCATTTTCGCCCGTTTTCGGTTTCTGGCGCAATACATAGAGCTCCATGTATCTGAAAGTTCCGGCCGCCATTTTTTCAGTGAAATCTTCATAATATCGCTTATAACTTTTGAATAGGACAACAGCTGGTCCTGAAACCTTGGTATCTTGCTTGAACTGCTAGGGCTACGTTTTGACGGACTCGGAGCTCTCCGTAATGTCTAATTGTTTTTTTTTTTTTTTTTTTTTTTTTTGCAGTACGAAAAGCCGGATTTCAATTTTTCACAAACACCCGGTAGATTCTGCACAATGTTTGCAATGCCACTGTTTTCGATTCTATGCTACTCGAGCTCAAGCCAATTTGTCGACATGCGAACAATGAAGAGAAAGCCAATACGGAAAGAACTGAAGTTATAGACCCAATTTCATTATTACGAAGGAAAGAAAAAGAGGCTGAAAATACTTGCATTAAAAACGCAAAGAGCAATACTAAGTCTGTTTAATGATAGCGATTGTCTGTGCGCGTGGCGTCTGTAAGCGCACACCAGAAAGGCTAGCTTTTCCCTTCAAAACGTAAGTAGACTTACAAGCGAACAAAGAAGAGCGCTTCTGTTTTCCCCCGGCTCGAGGCTCGTGCCAAAACACAATCTCGCCCCCGCTCTCTGAGGGAGACGTTCGAGGCCGCCAGGGCGGCACCGGCGCCGCTCTCCCCTATTTCGTCACACTTTCTTCCACGGTGATCTCGGCGCAGCAGCCACTACCACTTTGCGTCCTCCACAAACTTCTCCAAAACTTTCGGGGAAACACACCGTCTCTTCTCCACTCTTCGGCGCCTGCATGCTCCCCCAAAGTTAGTGACGTGCCTTTGACGTCATACACGCGGGGGAAAGGGAAAGATGACGAAGGAGGCCTCGCTCCGAGGCTCCAAAAAAGTAATGGCGACCGGCGTTTAATGCGAGTACGGATGTGAATGATTTCGCGAAAACGGGCCGAAACCACTTTAAAACTCGGCCCGGTTTTTAAAAGTAATGGGAAGGGAACGAGCGGCCTTCTATGAAGAGTAATCTATGCGCGGTCTGGCTCTGACGTTGATTGTTTTCCCAGTTGGGCCTCCGAACGTCGACGACGTCGGTCATTAATAGGGCTACGCCGGCGGCCTCCGCTGATTTCTTCGAGGTAGATGACTTCGGCCATTGTAGGTCTGCTGGCGACCGGCGGCCGCCCTGGCGGATTTTTAAACTGCTTCCTTTGTGCGGTATCGGTATGGCGGTAGGCTTGGAATAGAAAATCGCGACGCGCGATTTGTAAAATGAAATACATTGAATTTCTTGAAATGTGTTTCGAAAACCGACGTACTATCGCGAACAATATGAGCGTGAACAGCTTGCAATGCTTAATTGGAGTACCTGCCAGTATTTGAAGAAGGCGGGATTCAAACAAGGACATGAAACTTGAATTTTAGGTTTCAGTCATTCGGCGAATTGGGAGATATGGGAATTGCGGGGATCGCAGTCGCAGTAGAAGGCCCTACCAAGTGTTGTCGCTCACTTCGTGAGTGAGTGCACACGAAACAATTATCATCTGCTATTAGTAAATTGTGTATTGATGTATACTTAGAAAGCGGAAAGTTCTCGACCACCATGGGCCGGACGGCTGGCGCAATGATGCGCTCCGAGAGGAAACCGACATCTATAAATCCAAATCAAGTGTTATTTTTTTTTTTGAATGCCGTAAAACGTTGATTATGTCTTATATCGTTTAAAACTGCTTAACTAATTATTATTATTACTTTGTAACCCTTGACGTTTGCGGTGGCTGGCAGTTTGTTCCCGTAAAGAGTTTCTTCTTTTCTGAACCACCCTATTTTTGAAAGAACTTTTGAAAGCATTCGCTGAAATACGCGGCATTTATCTTACACCGTGGTCTATGCACTGCGGCTGAAAATCATGTGTAGCGGAAGCGGCAAGTTGAAATCTCATTTCAGACGGCCTGATTTCGTGTAATCACTACTGCGTGGTGTTCGTTAAAAACTAGTAGAACATGTTAGCTGTACAACGCACTAGTCGAACTTCTTCCCCTTGGCGGGCATATTAGATGCAATATTAGATCAGCCTCTCCCGCTGTCACAAGGTTCACGCGACAAAAGTACATTTTATAAATAAAAACATACAAACATAGTGGTGCCGTAGTTGCATTTTGTAGGATACATTTCAGTATCTCAACGAAATCCTAGCCTTACACTTTATAACGCCCATGTGTCGCTGAACTTCTGACTGAGCTTCTACAGCACACCCAGTACCAGCCCGAAGCATTCTACGGAGCCGAAACGATAAACGAAAATAAACCCCGAACCGCGCGCGCGCGCATGGTGCGTGTATATGGTCGGCGTGCTCAATGCCCGTGCAGAGAAAGGCGCGATTATCCCGCGCCAAATGGCCAGTTCGTGAAAACGGGCTATCGCCGCACATTCCCGCAACAAACAGCGCGTCTCGGAGGAAGCGTTAGCCCGCTTTAAAGACCGCGCGCAGAGGCGCCTCGCTAAAACGACGCGTGCACGTCTTGCCCTGATGACGATTCTCGAAGCACTCCGGCAGCGACTGCGCCACTCTCCGAGTCGCCAAGTCGGCTCGGGCTCCAAAAAAACATTTCGCCGTATAATTACGCGCCCCGAGACAGATGAATCCCGGCGCAAAAAGGGCTGCGCGCGCGCGGGGGTGGGCCTCGAGGGGTGGCCGACACAGGCGGGGATTAGGGGAGCGCGGCCGCGTGCCCGCTCGCTTAACGGTCACCCCCGGGCTATTAGGGCTGGACTCGGAGGCAGCGGGCAGATCTCCTGATGACCGGCCGTGCCCTGACTTCCTTTCCGAGCGATTGTCTTTGTCGCTTCGGACCGCCTAGTGCTCTGCCCTGCTTAACCGCGCTGGGTGAGGAGTGGGTGCTTACACTGAAGCCCCCGGCTGCCGCGTGTGTGCGATGGAATGGACCCTACGCTCAAAGTTGCGCTCTCCGTCTCTTCTTTCAAACTCACCATCTCCTAGTGGCAAGGCGGCACTCACGAGATTCGTTGTAGAATCAAGTTTTGTTACGCGGACGCTGAACGTGCACGCGAAGTCGACTGGAGAGCAGCATAGTTAGTTTTTCATCGGGTTCAACCGTTGACATGCAAAGCGGCACCGAGCGATTTCCCGCGTGCGACATCCAGTAATACTTCAACCCAAGCCGCGTTTACATGAATGCGACTTAGTCGTATCGAATCCAGTTGTCGCATTCAATGCGGTCATGTAAACGGCATAATGCGCAAAGAAAGCGCATCGCGTTCAAGTCGATAGACAGAGGAGGATCGAGATGGCGAGTGCGCATTCATTCAGCCCATGTAAACGGAGGTTGCATCGCATTTTGGAACGGGGAGGATTATGGGAAGGTGCTCGCTGCGGGAGCGAGTGAACAGCTGAGAAAATGGCGGCGGCCAAACTCGTCGGCGGCGCGGAGAGCGGTCCCGTATAATCGCCCGCAATATTTTCCCGAGAACAAATGCGAGCTATTATTGCCATCATAAGTAAGCGGAATATAGCGGAGCTGCTCGGTGAGGGCGACCCCCGTCCAAGCCTTGCGATGTAGGACTCGCGCGTCCGAAGGGGTCCCAAAGGCTTCGGCGCAAGCACGAACGACACCGAGAGCTCCGAGCACTAAAGAGCACTGCATGGTAGCGCAGAATGAGCAGCTTTTACCTCGGTGCCGTTCCTGGCTGCGCAGGAGCCTTTTGGACTCGGCGTCCGGTTGGTCCGGTCGCGATCGACGAGGTTTGGCTCGGCGAAGCGCGGAGGCTTCCTCAAAGCGTGCGCGCACACGTTGCCTCTGGTCCAGAATGACCCGGCGACCCGGCCCGGAGCCCTAAACACTTGGGTTTTGATGTTTCTTCCCTTCTTGTAACCTCTTCCACAGAACCGAATACAGCGGGCACGATCTTTACGTTCACTGAATGCGTCGAAAGGCCTCCACG